ATTCTAGCAGGTTTACTGGTCTGTAGATGTAAATGTGTAATATGTTTTAATAAAAACACATTAGATTATTGTATGAATGCCTAAATACAGGCTAACATCTAAGTGTTCAATTATTGTGTGAATGTTTTGATGGGAAATATTCCAGAAATTATCTGGAGCAATAATAGAGGTTTACAAAAAAATACAATTAACAGTTGACAAAATATTTTGAACCTCCATGATTCCCTTTATTCAGACATATTTTCTCATTATATTCTTTTATTTGTCTAATAAAAAATATGTGTAGTATGTTTTCATTCGATAGAACCAGTGTACTATATATAACTATATATCCTAGTGTTTTAGCAATTAGCTTGTGCATAGACACAAACGTAGATTTAGAATATATATATGCACTTATATGGTCATATACTATACAAGTCTATCTACATAAGTTCTAAGTTTTAATACATAACTACATTGCAGTGTTTTAGCTGAATAAGCGTCGACATGACGTATGTCGTATATGTTATAGGCTGTTATAGGCTATAGAAAGGCATGTTTATAGTAAGGATGGCATTAAAAGTCTAATTATTTAAGAAGGGGCCGAGTTGCCGAGCAAAACTGTGCGGCAGTGGACGGCTTTGTTTACATTCGCTGGTCAAACTCCATGAATTGCATTGTGCTACATTCACTTGTTTGATTTGTGTTGTTTTATTGGGAAGTTTATGGCCTTCATTATGGCTCCCCGGTATCAGTCAGACTGTTGTTGTGTTTTTTTGTCCTAGATTATGATGTAACCACTGAGGTGAGTGACATTAGTACTGATGTGTTTTACGACTTATGGTGAATATCGAGGTACTTAACACAGCAAGAATGGAACTTGGACTGAAGTCGAGGACCCCTCTGTATTCACAGATTGTAAACCACAAGTATTTGCGGTGCTTTCAGACGTCCCCTGAAGATTTGTTATGTATAAACAGCATAGATTTTCCCATCAGCTCCCCAAAATAGATTTAATAACCGTCGAGCTGAGGTGGAAAAACAGCAGGGGGAACAATTGTTTGGCCTGTATTTTAGGCACAGAGGTCACGGATCGTCTCAGGTCTATCTGTCTGCAAGTGTTTCGTTTGATTCTGCTTCCCAATAGAAAATAATTAACCCGAAATGCAGCTGCTGATCACGTGTAAACATTCCTCCCAGTGTAAATGTTACCTTTGATGAAACACACACAATAATTTGTCATAATTTACTGGCTGAAGTAACCGTGTAAATGTTTTGTGTGCTTTGCTTCATTTCTGACCGTCTTTTAATGTCCTCTCCTCCAATGTGTCGTAGGAATA